ATTTGGTTCTTATCATAAGAATTACTACCACTGGTATTATGACGATGATTGCTATCATCTGAGCTTCCTTCCTGGCGTAGATTTGACCCTAAACCTCTAAACTTAAATTCCACAGGATCTGCGTTTGGAATTATGTGGGTTGCGTAATGCCTTTTTACGTATAGCGTTTCCCAAACAGCGCGGTTACACACTATGGGGTTCTAGTGTTGGAAGTGGAGAGAATGGGTTAGCATATTCCGCCAGTGCTTGGGGGAAAGCATTTAGGTGGTCTCCTGGTCTCTTGGCCTGTGGGTGGTCTGCTTTTTATCGTGGTCGGCTTGTTCGTAGTGGTCGTCATGGTGGTTCTGGTGGTCGTGGGCTTCATGGTCGTGCTGGCGCTCTGATTTACTTTTTTGGGGTCTATGCTGGAATGTAAATTTTGCCTAAAATTGGGTACAGAACAGTATACAGACGCCGCCTTGATTACTTTTTCGTTTCATAAGGTAAGCATATGGCACGCTGACGGTTCCCAGACACTCCAAAACCCATTTCCTAAGGAAGCATCCTACATCATCGTATGGATCCCCCTATTACTTAAGGTTTTTTCCTTGATTATGGGGCTTTGTGGGAATATCGCCAGAAGCCCATGTCCCGGAACGCCAACCCCGTTGAAGCCTTAAATCTCGCCTGCAGGTTTCATGGACAGGTAAACGCATAAGTATGGATACACGACCCTAATTGGGTTCAGATTTCATAAGTGGCCATGAGCATAGCAAGTCTACCCCACAATCCTACTTACCAAGCCCGATAATCCTCAAAGTAGCCTCAACTTGGATTTTGGGGCCATGGCTTGAATCCTAAAAGCATTACCCTCATAGAACACACATTTTTATACACGAATTAGTTATAAGGCTTTCAACCTTTAAAGCCCCGAAAGACCGCCTGTAATGAAGGCCCCTATTGTATGACCCTTACGAAAGCTTTACAGTATTGCCCCTACTGCTGACTTTGCTTACATCCGAAGACAAGCCTTAATCATCCTCCTCCCTAAACTCTTAAGCTTGAGAATAGCAGCTTTTTGTGGAAAGTCGACAGGCGTATCGACCTGCTCGTCGCCAGCGCCGGATCGATGCCGAGCCTGGGTAGCAACCTGCTCAGTGACTTCCAAGCGGGCGATTATAGACTGCTTATTGATTCTGATTGCTATTGTTCTCCTTCATGTTCTCATTTTCGTTGCTATCACGGTTGCGATTACTTCTGATTGGTGTTCCATTTTGGGTTGTATTGTGGCTCTTGGTTTTAGGGTTTCAGGCTTTAGGGCAGAACGGTGGTGGGGTGTTTGTATTGGGTTTTGAAGCGTCTTACGGACGTTAACAAAGGTCTTTTTCGGGTTGGAGGGTTGTAGGGTCTTCGGGATTTGTCATTTTCGGGTTTTGGCTTTCAGGGCTCCGGGCTGCAAGGTTTGAGGTGTACCTGTGGCCCACAAGGCCTACAAACTTCAGGAACCATGTGTAGAAACCATCATAAGGAATCCTAAAACGGTAGGTCTTTTCGGCTACAGTTCGGGTTTGGCATGGCTTCATTGCTACGACTAACTACTACTACTACTACTACTACTGCTACTGCTACTGCTACTACTACTGCTACTACTACTGCTACTACTGCTACTACTTCTACTACTACTTCTGCTACTGCTATTTCTAGTACCTACTACTACTGCTACTACTACTGCTACTACTACTGCTACTACCACTACTACTACTACTGCTACTACTGCTACTACTTCTACTACTACTACTTCTGCTACT